CCCATCACAGATAGATATGGCAGTTTCGAGAAAATAGTGAGTGAAGTTGCGGAGGATGTAGTAAGGAGACACCCCAGTGTGGTCTACCAAGCTGGGTGTCAGATGACACCATCAAACTAAAGCATGAAAGGGATAAGGCTAAGAAAGAGTTTACCAAGTCCAAGAAAAGTGGAGAGAGCTAAACACCAGCCTGAATGACTCTTACTCCAAAGACAAGCTAGACCAGCTCAACAAGCAGATTGAAAAACTGAAAAGTGCTGATTAAGCTGGAAACTACTCCACCAGAACAACAAGATGACCCCCAAAGTGAAGAAAAGGATGGCTCTGCCCCCTCTAGTGATGATGAACTTTTAGAGGAATGGAGACAATATTTCAGCTCCTTGTTGAACAACAATAATGGAAAACACYGGGAGATCTTCCACCACCAGCAGAACAAGATCTACCTATCAGAGTGCAGATCCCGCCACTCGCGAGGAGACCAGAAATGCCATAAAACAAATGAAGTGCAACAAGGCAGCATGTTTCGACAGGGCTATCACTGCAGAAGCACTAAGAGGTGGTGGCGACCCCATGAAAGAAGTGATCCACGGTTTTTGCTCTGACGTGTTTACGACCTGGACTCCGCCAGACCAGTGGATCACTAACAGCATTGTCCCTGTGCCAAAGAAGGAGAACCTAACCCTGATGACTAACTACTGCAGAATATCACTAAATTAAATGTCTATCGCTGCTAAAGTCTATAACAAGATTCTACTGATCAGAATTAGAGACCACATAGATCCCATCCTGCGGAGTAACCAAGCAGGATTCCAGAAAGGCAGGAGCTGTGCACAGCAAATCCACATTCTCCGAAGGATCATGGAGGGCTTAATTTTCATAGATTTTAAAAAGGCGTTCAGCTCAATAGACAGWAAGGTCATGTTTGCTATTCTTAGACACTATGGAATCCYGGAAGCAGTTGTTATAGCCATAGCGCACTGTACATGAACTCCCGTAGCACAGTRATGGTTAACTGATGCATATCCGAATCATTCGAGGTGACCACTGGAGTAATGCAGGGTGATGTYCTAGAACCATTCCTCTTCATTATCCTAGTTGATTATCTGCTAACGAAACCAACACAGATGGAATCAACACAGGAGTGGTGACACATCCTCACCAATCCAGGCKACACCCAGAAAAACAATTGAATGATCTTTGACTTTGCAAGACCAGCTGTTTTTAAAAATATCTTTTTTCTACCTCCCAATAGTGTACATGGGTTTGCTTTATGTCCATGTGTAGTGTTAGAAATTTTTGCTTGTTTCTATTAAGAGTAATCAATATTTTAATCTCAGTCATGGACGTTACGAAAAACGGACACAGTTTTTAAACTCTTGGGCTTCAATGTAAAATTCCTGTAAACTAACTGAGTTATATAAATTCATTAGTGCAAATACATAAAGTGAGAGAGTGGTTGTTACCATTTGTGAAGTTTTTGTCCTTGTTTGTCTTTCACATGAAAACCAATTGGGAAAAAACTAGAGTCATGGACGTTACACAAATTTCTCATTGACGTTACGTCTTCAAAAAAATCTATATTTTTAGCATTTTATGTTGGTTTACTTTAATGGAAAATACTAAAAACTTGACTTAATGAATAAATTATACACTTTTAGACATTTGTTCATTTAAAGTTTCTTTTAGTTCTTATTTAATTAGACTTTTCTGATAGAATGTGATTTGTGGGTTTCCTGTGTAATGATTAGAAAAGAAACGGCGAGTAAAAGCCAAAAAACATCCATGACAAGCCTTGAAATGCATACATTAAGTCAGTTCAAGCCCTTGAAAAAGCTATAGGAAGAAATTTTGATGTCAAACTCCTAAATTACCTTCATGTAACGTCCATGATGTAACATCCATGACCAATTTCTCATGGACGTTACATAATTCAAATTGAATTTTCTTTTTAACTAAGAAGAAAATCTATTATTTCATGACAGGTCTATACTTGTCTTTGATAGCACAAAAAGAAAATGAAAGGATTTTAAAATATTTGCTCTGCATTTAACAGGAGAGTAAAAAATAGCATATTTTATAATAAAATGTCATGTAATGTCCATGACAAAATTTATGACATCATAATTAATGCAATATTGCATTTTTTTGATAAAAAGGTTATTTATTTGTAAAGTACACACCATTGACTTTAATATGATGAGACATTTTTGTATTGATTAAACTTTTTAAGCTCTTTACATAAAGATTGTCAGTCGTTATGGTGCTATTTCATTCAAAACATTCAAAATTCCTTAATCTTTTGATCGAAAACTCAAGTTGATATGAACTATGTTCTGATTCTACTATGTTCCAAAGCCTTTTGCCCTTCATTACTTTATGTTATATAACACTTATATATTATTTTTATATACGTCTCGAAGTGACCATAGACATGTCTCAAACCGTCCATACGATGTGTCTCGAAACAACCTGTCTCGAACTGGCAATGTCTCGAAACAACCGGGCACCAGTAGCACAATCCGATTTGTACATATTATTTTTTCAAAGGTTTAGGTATACCACTACAAATTGGCCACTATAGATATTTGCCAAATTCAATTTTATTTTTTCACTTTTTGCTTGTTCTCACATGGAACTGCCCATTTAATGATAAACATTCATATCAACTAGATACAGCTGTTTGCAATAATTCTGACCCCCCTACACTAATATTCATATATATCAAAGTAGCCTTAKAAATTATGGGATACCAATGCTGATATTTTTTTCAGAAAGTACTCATTCTGGACAACTAAAAAAATATATCAGTCATGATATCCCATAATATTTAAGGTCAGTTTGATATATTTGAAATATGGCAGAGGGGGTCAGAATTATTGCAAACAGCTGTATATATATTATATTATTAAACAAAAGGCTAAGTTGCTGATCATGACTAGTATATAATACGTACAATGTGTAGTTCCAGAAAATATCCATACCCCCACCACGGAGGATATTTCATTTATGACCCCCCGGCCCCCCTGGAATTTCCGATTTTTGACCGATTTTTTACAACTCTTCCCCAACCCCCCACCCCTCCGGAATTTTCGATAAAAAGGCAGGTATTACCCCC